CTTTTTATCAAATATTTTTTGATTGAACACGTTTGAGTTTCATTTTTTCTCTATATCGTTTATCATATCTCATCAGTTTTTGTTTGGATACTTTCGCCATGATTTTATCTATAAAAACAGAATTACCAATGGAACTGTTCTTGCATTTTGAGAGACTTCTGAACATTAATCCTGTAAGTCCCCAAGGCTTTAGTACTTGGTTTTCGGTCAACCGCCTATGAAAATGGAACATACGAGATCTCGATATGGCTTCGAGAAAATCAAGAATGACTAAGAAAACGAGCCCAAAATTCCAGCAAAATATGACCTTTCGTTTTCTACCATCAGCAGCCTAACAGCTTAAACAATAGTTTCTTCAGCTGACATAATTTGAAAGAACAAACCTCCCTACATATTTTGAAAAAGCTGTTCAATAAAAAACTTTTACTGAAGTAACTAAANCCAATATGACGTTTCGTTGTCGACGACAACTTCTTCAGACAAATAAAATAAAATTAAGGAGTTATATATATAGATGTATAAACTATATCTATATTTTAAACACATAAAATGGCAAAATTAGTCTATGTTATTTTCTTTTCTTTTCTTTAGTCTAATTTTATAGTAGAGCACTAGCAAATAAGGAGATATTTCTTTTCACATACGATATCTCGTGTGCCAACATTTTTTTGTCTCAGCGCGTCGATTGAAACGAAAGAGAACAGAAAGATATGCATGTGCGAAAAGAGATATCTCCTTATTTGCTAGGGCTCTAGTGATACGGAAACAAGACAGTAATAGTAATAACTGGATTGGTTTTATCCCATTCCGTATCGCTATCAAATTAGACTAAAGAAAAGAAATGAAAATAGCATAGACTAATTTTGTCATTTTATGTGTTTAAATTATAGATATAGTTTAAACACATAAAATAGAGTTATACATATCTATATATATAACTCCTTAATTTTATTTTATTTGTCTGAAGAAGTTGGCGTCGACAACGAAACGTCATATTGGAAATTTGAAATAATTTAAATAAATTTGTGGAAGAGTTTTAAAGAAAAATGTCAAATTTATCACAAATCTTCCTATCAACACTAAATATTTTCATAAACTAAATATTTTTTTACCATTCGATAACCCATTTAATTATCTACAACCGATATAAGATTAGGATTTTTAAAGAATGCTTCCTGAGTTGGCTATTATGCTAATGTCAATGTCAATTTGAATGGCCATGGGACTTTAAAGCATTAAATTGAAGAAATTATGAAGTATTGCAGCCCTTAATACTTTTTGCACAACGGTTACGCTTCCAAAAGAGTTTACATCCAGTCACATAGATAGTCCTGACTTCAAGGAATCTATTGATGTATTATGAGTGTCAGTTATACTCAGTTTTGATCAAGTTATAAACAGAATAACTCTCGCAGGACATTTCTGATGTAAAATGCGCTTTTCTCAGGAACGAAGCGTTTCTGAAAGCTCGTTTTTTTATCACATACTAATCGTCTAAGAAGGAAAAAAGAGTAAAATTTTGACCTCAAATGGATCACTCTTTTTCGAGTTATAGACAAAACAATTTTTGAAATCTCGCAGGACATTTTGTGTGAAAACAACATTATATAGCATATTCAAACACGGTTTTTCTTGAGATATAAAGACTTGGAAATGACCCATTTTTAGCAAAATGTAGAGCTACTCTTGCTCTATTTTTCTACCTATTTGAAAATTTTTTTAAATAATTTGCGTCGTATGGAGACCGTCTTGAAGTCTCGCAGGACAAAATTTTGCAAATTGTCTGTAACAGCAGTTTTTTCTCGAGCTTTTATGGAAAACTTTATTTTACTTGAAATCAAAGTACATAATTTGAAAGCCCTGTTTTCGGGCTACATATTCCATTAAAGTGTAATTTAGTAATCTTTAAACGGGATGGAGGAAAACTCCCGTTTCTTTCGAGAGGCGGCGCCAAAATGACTCTGTTTTGGCCTTGTTTCGTTCATATCTCGACAACCAAATGAGATAGAAACTTTTATTTTTTAGTACTGAATAACCATCTTTGAACAAACAACCCCCCCAAAAAGAAATTAAGTTTTGTTCCGTAGAACGACTTTTATCAGCAAAACAATCGGTGAACAGCAACGGTACAATGCCAATGCAACTCACTCGTATGTATCAGTACCGTTGTTATTACGAATTCGCAAAAAGCTAACTAAAATACAAAGAAAAACGTTTGCCTAGTTGTATAAGCACTCACAGCAACCCTCGCTGCCCCCGCCTCCCGCGCATGCACACAAGAAAGAGAGAGAATCCTTTCTGTTTTCTTTCGCGAAAAACAATTTTTCACGAGTTGATGAAAGAATTGAAGCGAAGAGACGATTCTTTGTTTTCGTAATCTCATAGAAATATTTCTTGTCCTTGATATCAATTCGTAAACGTAACGGAGAATTGATGCGGAGAGACGAATCTATCTATTTTTAACGTCACAGAAATGCTTGTTGCTTGTTGTTATAAGTATGCGAATTTTCGAATTCTATTTACGAATTCGTAGATGCCAACGTATATTCTAGGAATTCGTAAATTCACGTTTTTGCCAATTTACGAATTCTTGGTGACCAAAAAGATCATTTCACCAATTCGTTGATAGTAGACAAATTTGATTTACGTATTCGTGGGTATCCGAATTTTCTCCCTACGAATTCGTCCCACTTTACGAGTTGGCAAGAGGAACAAATTGGTTATTTTTTCATAATTTTTGTCAGTTCTCATCAGTTCGCAGTGAATTCCGAATTCGCTGCGAATTCCGAAAAGAATGGTAAAATGCGAATTATTGTATCATTTTTACACTCACATATTGCCGTTCGTCAATTCGTCTATAGGCACTTTGTCCACACTAATGATCATTCTGGACTCTCCCAGAACTTGTACATTTTGCAAAACAAAAACGGTCTCAGTTCAGAACCATTTTTCTCAGAAAACTGCCTCGAGTTTCGGTTTCAAAAGAGCAGCATGAGCCTTCTGCTGTAGAGTTGCTCGATTTTCAAACAATTGTAGGGCTGTGCCTTCAATTTATACCATTATCAACGTTCCACTTCCACTAATCGATCTACTATGTTTAGGATCGTTGATATATGCTTTCAAACAGCTTCACTTTTTCAGCTCATATATTTCACTTTCGTCATATTTTGATCTGTTCTTTTATGTAATAGAGTTAAGACTAGTATGGAGATTCAAGATACGAAAAATAAATTTTCATTTCACTTCATTGTTTTATCTCATTTATCACACTCTCCTGTTTCTTTCACTCAATGATGTAATCTTTGTAATGGGCTTAATGCTAGATGTGATTCCTCTAATCGAATACCTGAGTGTAATATGTCATAAGTAAAAGAAAAGTAATAATATTAGTCAATCGTTTGCTATTGTGAAGCGTCAAGCACAATAGTAAATGACTGTATAGAATTTCCCGGAATAAATTTTCCAGATACTTCTTAATATTCAAAAAATACATGAAGAAAGACTTAACAAATAGACGAATATTTTCTTTCCAAGATAAATTAAAATTGAATAATTGTATTTAGAGAGATAAAAATTGTAAAGATGAGATTACTAATACTTTCGTTGTTTTTACAATTATAGTTCATCGATATTGACGGTAGGGTATTTTATCTTTTAACGTATAATCTAGATTTCATGAGTTGTTTTTTTAACCTAGTCATTAATGCAACAGTCAATTGTACAATTTACTCAAGTGAACTTGATATTATCAATTTAAATCCATTTTTTGTATGTCTGAATCTATCATCAAATCTAACATCGGTTGAATATGATTCAAAATTACAACAAATGGAAAAAATAAACATTGTTAACGATAGGAATCCATCAGCCAATGTATTCTGTTTAAAAAATCTACAATCACTACATTTGATCAATACTAATCTTTCATTGTTACCGGATATTATAAATTTGAAAAATCTAACGCTTCTACAAATCGAATCAGATAACGCAGTAGTTGGCAATTATTTACCAGCTGAAATTGGACAATTGACATTATTATTCTCATTAATATTGATTCAAATTGACAATCTAGTATCTCTGCCAGATGAAATTGGGCAATTGAACCGATTGCGATCGTTAATTTTAGCACAACTTCTCAACCTAAAAGATATTCCTATTATCAGTATGAGTAAACTAACTGAACTACGTACATTGAGCTTTGTTGACGTACCGAAGTTATCCAGTCTTCCAAGTTCAATGGAAAATTTTCAACAACTGAATACTTTCATCTTAACAAATACAAATCTTTCAAATTTAGCATTACAAAACTTACGAGAATTAACAACATTGTTAATATCGTCGAATTTGGCCATGATTTCAATTCAAATAGATAATATGATAAAGTTATCTTCATTGGAAATTACGAGCAATGATGCTTTGGAAACAATAAATCTTAAAAATCTTATCTCATTGCGAACTCTCTCGTTCAATTCGAATAAACAATTGACTTCGATCTCAATGGAGAATCTTTCTATTATCGAATCATTATCAATCGACTATGGTGAAAATCTGAAAGCAATCACTTTCAAGAATTTATATTCTCTAATGGCTTTTAATTCGACTTCGAAATATGCACTTGAATTTGTTTCATTCGAAAATATACCATGGCTAACGATTGTCAATTTAGGTGGAAATGTTCATCTCCAAACAATTTTGTTTATCGATGCGCCTAGAATGAAACAACTTGATTTGTCTTCTTGTCAATTCACCGCATTTCCTTCCAGTATTTTGACATTGACATTCTTAGAAATATTGAGTATGCAAGGCAATCAGCTTTCATTACTGCCGGTCACACTATCGACAGATTTACCCAATTTGAAAGTACTTAATCTAGCAAACAATCGATTCCAAGGGAATATCATTCAACCTCCTCTAGTCTATATTCATGAACTTGATATGAGCAGTAATTCTTTGACAACACTGGATGGTATTGGCGAATACCAATCATTGGAAAGATTTATATTAGACAGTAATCGAATCGAATCGATTCCTCTAGAAATCATAAAAATTTCACCAATATTACAATTTTTGTCAATCCAATCCAACGCATTGATCAGTATCCCGTATTCAATGACAAATATGCGGTCGCTCAACTATTTCTATGTCCGGAGTAATCAGATTTCCAATGACGAACAAAGCCACTTGCTGAAATTATTTCAACCAACATCGATTGAACTATACGTCTGATATAGAAATTAAGTTGATTGACAATGGAATAACGGAAATTTATTAAGAAATAAGAAGTATGCATATGAGCCCTGCTTGGATAGAACTTTTAAGAAAGAATCAAACTCCTTTTCAACGCCATTTGATACAGTCAAAAATAATACATTCGATCCCTTTGACATTTTCACTACTATTGTCTGAACAATTAAAAGTAGCAGTGAAATTTTGATTTTTTTTGTATTCATTTTCATTTCATGATGATATGTTGTCGGTTGTTTCCCGCTAGCCGTCAAAAATAGCCGTAAATTGACGGCTAGCAGGAATTTTGAAAAAGGCTAGCCGTCAGATCAAAAACTATGTAGATACGACAAAATGGCTACCGAAATAAAGAGATTTTCGAAATCAAAGAGCAATGAAGCTGTTTTAAGCCATAAAACTATGGAAATTAAAAAGAATAGATTGATTTTGACCTCAAAACGATACTATAACAGATATATTTATCAACCTTGTGATTGGTTCTTTCATATTATATCTGATATTTTATGGATTAATGATTTTTTTGGACCGCAAACAAGGCAGAGAATTCTTTTTTCTGCTATCTGTATCATTTCACAGATTCAATTCGTGCAACTGTGTAAAGAGTAGTGAAACTCAAAAACGCTTCTTAAGTGTAGAAAAACTGGAAATTTGTTTCGTAGTCATTCTGAGTATCAAAAGGCGATGTTCTTTCTTAGAGAATGCACTAATCTCAGCACTTTTCTGATGTTTAGGCTCAACTAAACATGTTAATTGTGTGAAAATCTCATAATAAAGTTCCGCAGAAGTGAGAAATGAATGAAAATTTTGATGTATAACCGAGCGTAAATGATTTTCGTTCATTGCATCATGTTCTGGAAGAGAAAACCCGGTAAAACATGCGATTAAGCCAATAACTTGATTACTGGAGTTCTTCAAAAATGTAAAGGAATGAGAAGTGTAAAGAAGTTTTCTTCAAAAGAGTCTCAATCAAACGATAAACGTTCATCCCGGGCAGAGTGCCCAAATCTCCTGCTTTGGCCAGGAGACTCCTGATTTTTAGATTTTTCTCCCGATGAAAAATCTTCTGATTTCAGGAGTTGATTTTTAAGATTTTCTCCTGATTTTCAATTGTTTTCCTGCATCGATTTTGTTTTTCCCAAAACTGAGATTATCAGTTTCATAAACAGAATAATTGTACATTGAAAGAGTCCGCTGTATGCTTATCAAATGCTCTCATAACAAGAAGATGAGATTGAACTTCCAAATCCATTCGATCAAAATCTTCTTCTTCTATGCGTACTGCAGTCTGTAACAAATAATAATACTGTTCCATCAAAAAAAACACTTTTTTCAAAAAAAATTATTGCATTTTTTTATTTTGCTTGTCCTGATACTCACGTTTTTCTTTCGATTTCGAAAACAAACTAGTAATTTTCAGCATGATTTTTTAGAAAAAGTCTCCCGATTAACTTCTGAGTATTAGCGAAAAGTTCCTGATTTCAAAAAATTGGATTTGGTCACTCTGATCCCTGGGCTTGCAAAGTTTACGTAACTTTTTCTCGGACTACTTTACATTATGTTTTATTCGGACTTTTCTTCGAGAACATGGTATAATTTGATCCCAGCAGGGTCAAGCTAACATGCTACTTTCACCATGTTTTACCCGGTTTTTTCTTCGAGAACATGATGCAATCGAGCTATCTTGTTCACTGAGGGATCAGTTAGAGAGTGAGCTTAAACAAAACACAAAGTAATTTTATTTCTTTCCTTTTCTCATGCAGAAAATCCTCCTTTATATCACAAGGAGTGTGTTCATGTTCTTTTACGTAACTCTATACTAATTATGGTACAGTACATTGGAAAATAGTACTGCATATAAGAGACAGACTGTTTGTTCACTTATCCCGTATGAAATCAAAATAAGAAAACGACAGACATCTCTATACAATCTCTATACGTGAAATCGTAAATTCACGTTTTTGCCAATTTACGAATTCTTGGTGACCAAAAAGATCATTTCACCAATTCGTTGATAGTAGACAAATTTGATTTACGTATTCGTGGGTATCCGAATTTTCTCCCTACGAATT